AAGGAAATTGAGGCTCAGAGAGGAATTGCTCAAAGGTACATAGTTAATATTGTGCCTGTGGGTGTGGGGTGGAATTGAAACCCAAGTTTGTCTGCTTCACCCCTCCTCATACCTCTTCAGTTGATGGAGGGCTCCATATGGTGTGGGAGGGAGGGGGCTCAGTTTCCCTATCAGGACCATGAGAAGTTTGAATAAGATGACCTGAGAGGGCCCCTCAGCTCTGACAGACTCTGTCCCGGCCATTCCCCTCCCCTTAGACCCCTCAGTCTCCCACACTCAGGGGGCCTAGCTCAGAGAGGGAGGGTGGCTCACAGCAGCCCATGCCTTTGACTGAGCTCCCAAGCCCAGAGAGCCTGCCTTTTTTACTGGGGCCTTGAAGCAGCAGCACTGGAAAAGGGAGCACGCAATCCAAGTGTGTGTGTGGATCTGGCAGGCGGCCTCTTAGCCCTGAGATCCAGCCGTGTGTTGATTCACACCTGCCAAGGACATGCGCAACTACAGACCTGTGTGTGTGCATGTGCATACACATGGGCCTTCATGCTGTGTGCATGCTTCTATGTGTCTACAGATTTGTTGGAGATGTGCCTGGCTGTGTCTCTATGTGTCCATCATACTTGTGCGCTGGCGGGTATGTATATGATGTGCCTGTGTGCCTGCCTCTGTATATGCGTGCATATGTGTGTGAGTCTACATCATGCTAGAAATGTGCACTGTCTGTGTGTACATGTGCATTTGCCTGTTTGTGCCAGGTGTATGTGTGTTCATCTCTGTGTGTAAGTGTGTATGCACACTTGAATGGTGTGCCTATGCATATGTATGTGGGGCTGAGTGTGCCCAAATGCACGTGTATGTCCTCTGTGGACATGCACATGAGCAAATGTGTGCATGTGTGCAAATGTCTGGGACCTGGGATAGAGATCCTCAACTTTCTATTGGGGCTGTCCTAGCACACAGTTTTGTTTTGTTTTGTTTTGAGACATGACTCAGTCTGATGGCCAGGCTGGAGTGCAGTGGTGTGATCATGGCTCACTGCAGCCTCGACCTCCCAGGCTCAAGCCATCCTCTTGTCTCAGCCCCACAAGCAGGTGATACAACAGGTATGCACCACCATGCCTGACTAATTTTAAATTTTTTTTGTAGAGACAGAGTCTTACTATGTTGCCCAGGCTGGTCTTGAACTCCTGGAGTCAAGTGATCCACCTGCCTCGGCATCCCAAAATGCTGGGATTACAGGTGTGACACCACACCTATAATTACTATACCTGACCTTCTTCTTCTACTGGCGGCCTCCTCCCCCTCCTCCTCCTCCTCTTTCTCCTCCTCCTCCTTCTTCTTCTTCTTTTGATAGGATCTTGCTCTGTAGTCCAGGCTGTTGGAGTGCAGTGATAAAATCATATAGCACACTGCAGCCTTGAACTCCTAGGCTCAAGCAATCCTCCCACCTTAGTCTCCCAAGTAGCTGGGGCTCTAGGTGTGCATCATGCATCACCACGCCCAGCTATTTTTTAAAAATTTTTAATAAAGGGTCTCACTAGGCTGGTCTGGAACTCCTGGCCTCAATCCTCTCGAATTGGCTTCCCAAAGTACTAGGATTGTAGGCATGAGCCACCGCGCCTAACCTAGCCTAACAGTTTCTAAGAAGCTGACAGGGGTTAGAACATGTTTGCTGGGCATGTGAGAACTTGGGGTAATGCGTGCAAAGAGATTTAAATCCATGCCAAGCACCTAGTACAATTAACCAGGGTAGTGGACAGAGGTGCCTCTCAGGCATCAGACCTCAAAGACACTTTAATTTACCCTTCCCTCATTGTTATCATTCCATCCAGCTCTCCATCGTCTCTTACCCACCCCTCTTCATTTCCACGGCAGCCACCTCCTTCCTGGCCTCTGCATCTCCGCTTGGGCCCCTCCACACCATCCCTACCGACTACTGCTAGAGAGCCTTTTCTAAAACCGTCCACTTACTATATCCCCATTGTACTGAAATCAGCCCCTTATCTACCAAAACAGCAGTCACCAGACTTTCAGATTTCATGGATAAGGAAAACGTTTTTAAATAAATAAATAGGGAAACAATCAGCATGTCGCAAAGTTTGTAATTTTGCTGAGGGCAGACATTTAAAAAATTTCTCACTCATATTTTGTAGGAGAAAGATCATTTGAACCCCCACCCCCACAGGAAGGACACAACAGTCTCCAAATAAAGAATAGTACTTTGAGTTGAATTAATTTAGGTTTATGAAAACTGCATGACATTATCCCTACTCTTCTCTCATTCCACCACAGATAGTTGAAAAATCTCCTTCAGGACGCCCACTAGGTGAGGACCATGAATCCACATACCAGTTCCTAACCCTTTGGGAAGCAGTCCCTGATTCCCCTTCTCCAGCCCCTATCCCCTTTAACCCTGCATTTGAGCCACATCACGAAAGAAGCCCTTCCCCCAGCCCACTACCATCTGACTGCCTCCAAATTCTAGCTCATGAAGTTCCCTCTGGCAGGCATGCCTGGAATGCCCTTCCCCCACTTTTGGACTGACAAACTCTTCTCTTCCTTTAAGCCTCAGGCTCAGCCCAAATGTGACCTCCTGTGAAACTGCTCCACGTCCCTCCCGGTGGAATGGACCTTTCCTTCCTGAAGGTCCCAGAATTCCTTTTATCCTGTCTTGCAGTCAGTCAGGCTAGTCATTTGAAAGTCTTCCTACTGGGTTGAACTGTGGGAAGCCACACAGTGTCAAGAAGGGGTGGACTTAGGAGCTCAGATCCCAGCTCTGCCAGTCACATATGAGCAACCTTGTAAATATCTCTTAACTGTTCACAGTGTCCTTTCCCTATCTATAAAAGCAGGGAAACAATGGGTTGTGCTGAAGATTGCCACCATATGAATGAATTAAAAGTACCTAGGTCTGGTATGTAGTAGATACTAAATAAATATTTGTTTCTTGGTTCTTAAGAGTGGAATCATGCTTTACACACCCTTGTGGGTTCTGCTGTGCTCATGTATCCCGCATGGCCAGGATATAGTAGATACTGAACAAATACTGACAAACTGACTATATAGCACAATGTCTGGCATATAGTAAGTGCCTGGTAAATATTTGTCACTTTTCTTATATTCTCTTTGAAGAAAAGCCATGTCCTTCTTTGTCTTCTTTTAAAAAATGAAGATGGGGGTGTCTCCCTATGTTGCCTAAGCTGGTCTAGAACCCCCAGCCTCAAGCGATCCTCCTGCCTCAGCCTCCCAAAATGCTGGGATTACATACAGGAACCACTGTGTCCAGCCCTTTTTTTGTCTTTGTGTAGCTCCCATGGTGCCTAGCACAGAGTAGGTGCCTTGCTATATGTGGATAGAAATTAATAATAATAACAATAGATACCATTGCTTGTGTGCATACTTCACAGCAGGCATCCTGCTAGGAAGTTTACACTCGTTATCTCCTGGATTTGCATACATTTACTATGTAAACAATAACACCAACTTCATCAACCCATAAGGTTGGTGTCACTATGGTCCTCATTCTAAAGCTGAGAGGAAACTGAGGCTAGTAGAGGTTAAGCATCTTGCGTTGGTGGCAAGATCTGGGAAGCCACAGAGGCAAGTTTTATGATAAATAGCCAACTAGCCGACTTGTTTGTATGGGAATGCAACAGAAGGTCACAGAACTGGTTAAGTGACAAAGGCGAGACTTGAACCCAAGCCTTTCTAACTCCGAGAGTCTCAGGTAGTCTCGGAAGCCCATCTGGTCTGTCTGTCAGCTGGCGCCCAAGGGTCCGCATCTGCCTCCTTCCCCCCTGAGCAGCGGGATGGGCTGCAGCTGGGCTGTCACTTACCTTCACCTTCCTGAAGCAAGACCAGAAAACGTCCAGCAGAGGCATGGTGGTTTGTGGGGAGCTGCTAGGGCCCGCAGGACTGTACCGGGCACGGGCTCCTCCCTCTCTGGGGACGAGGCTAGAGGAGACCCGGAGCTCCGCGAGAGCCAGCCCGGGACCTGCGCTCCATGAGCCGGCCCCGCGAGGGGAGAGGCGGAGAGCAGTGGCTGCCGGGGCTCGGCTGCCGGGGCTCAGCTGCCTGGACAGCGGGCGCCTCCGCCTCTTGGAGGGCCACCGAGGGAGGGATGAAGGGAGGGAGGGAGAGAGGCCGGCTAAGGAGGAGGGACCAGGAGGCGGGTCACTGATTCAAACTCGGCACCGTTAACCAGTTGGCTGGAACGGAACAGCAATGCCAATTGAAATTCCGTGAACATTACAGTTCCCCGGCTCCGGGTGTCCTGCCGGCTCCCCAGCCAGCCCCGCCACCTGCATGCTGGCATTGCCGGCCTGCTTGCTTCTTGGCTAACGCGCCAGCTCTCCTTGGGGACCTCTCATTACGGCCCAGACCACACAGGGCCTATGGAAAGGGTGCCAAGGAAAAGGGGCAAGGAAGGACAGCCCCGGACCCAGCAGAACACAACAAGGTGTGAGTGCAGTCCGAGGAAGAAGAAAAGCTTGCAGCCTTAGGAGTTCCTCTCAGACAGGAGCCCTGGCCCTGCCTCAGTGGATCATTCTCCAGCACTCTAAAGTGAGGACTCGACTCACCGTGGCATCTTGGAGAGGCCCCTTCCTCCTGGGTCTCAGTTTTCCCCGTGATACAATGAGATGCAGGGTTAAAGGTCTTTAAGTCACAAATCTGTTTGGGGTTAGGCACAGGGCAAGTCTCGAAGAAACTCCACTCTGGACAATCACAGTTCCTCTCAGAACTCCCCTGCTGCTCCTGGGAGTCCATAGGAAGTCAGGTCTTGCCCCAAAGAGAATCTGAGCCCTCAAATGCCATTTCAGCCATCCCCCTGCCTCAGGGCATAACAGCTCTCTCCGAGCTCAGATAGACTGGGTGTATGCCCTTTTCTGAACATCTTCTGAAGAGATGATGGCTTCCCTCCTTTATCCAGTCCCATGCTCAGGACCTTCTAAGCCCAGAAGTTTAGCCTGGAACTAAACTTGAACCCCCTGGATTCCCTGAAGTCACTTCTTTCAAAGGAAAGAAAGTTAGCAGTGGGCAGTTCTGGAGGCTTTCTGGGCAGGAAGCCATTAAGAAGCAATGACCCTCCCCCCCTCTCTGCCCCTCCCCAGACCTCAGAAGGCAGAGTGCCAGGGCTGGCGGCCAGAAGGCTCCCAGAGACCCCATGGCAAAAGGCCAGGCTTGGGTCTCTAGAGACACATGTCGCCACGAGGCCCAGAATAACTTACTATCCCTGGCCTCACTTCTCTTTTAGAGACCCAAGCTAGTCAGGCAAACGGCCAGGTCCTGGGACACTGGAAGGTCCTAGGCTACTTTAAACAAGCCTCTGCTTGCCCTCGAGGACTTTCTTCATCAGTGGCTTTGTCCGGAGGTTTGTCCAGAGGCTCTGCGAGGGTCCCCCCAGCTGTTTACAACTTACTCTGTGGCCCTCAGTCTCCTCGTTGGTACCAAGGAGGCTGCAATCACTGACCTCACCCTTTCTCTAGCTCCGATCTCAGGGGTGTCTCAGATGTGAGTTCTGTTGGGCTGTTTCGGAAGATAGTCAGCAAGCTTTCGACAAGTGGCTTCCCACCCACCTCCAGCTGAGCACAGGCTCATAAGGGGAAGCCCTCTGCATGTGGGGGCAGAGGAGTCAGAGCCCAGAGAGAGTTTTCTCCTTTGGGTATATGCCCTCCTGCCCTGCAGCCAGAGGCCTGAGGATGGAGAGCCAGGGAGCAAGTATTGCAGGAAAAGCTGCCTGCCCCTTTAGGATGGCCTCATAGCCTCTTGCTCTCTGGGGTTCACCTCCTTCTTTCCACTGTGGCCCCTCGGAGGAGATGTGTCAGCTGTGCCTCTGGGCATTCATTCAGGAGGCATTAGTGCACAGCACACCACACTGAGCTAAGAAACCAGGAGACTTCAGTTTCAGTTCTGGGCCTCTCATGCTAGTTTAGCCTTGAAGTGGTTTTAAGCCATGAACTCGGAAGTTGACTGCCTGGATTCAAACCCTAGTTCTGTTACTCTGTAACTGATGACCTTGGGCCTGTTAATGAGCCTGTTAATGACTTAGTGTCCTCATCTGTAAAATGGGGAATAATAATTGTACCTACCTCCTTGGGAGGTTTAAACAGAATGAATTAAAGCATGCACTATAGTGTCTGGCATAAGGTAAGTTCTCAATAAATGTTATTTGTGGCTCATTTCTCCATCAGGCAGGAAGGACGTTGGTGTGGAGGTTAACATACATATCAAGGACAATAACTACCGTGGCTTCTACGAAACCTCAGACCCACGGGTTTCATATTATTGGAGCATTTATTGCTTCCCCAAGGGTTGCAGTTCTCTATGTTTGCTCTGGCCAAACCAAGGAAGAAGGCATGCGCAGATTTATTTTTTTTGAGACGGAGTCTCACCCTGTCAACCAGTCTGAAGTGCAATGGCGCGATCTCTGCTCACTGCACCCTCCGCCTCCCTGGTTCAAATGATACTCCTGCCTCAGCCTCCTGAGTAGCTGGGATTACAGGCACCCGCCACCACGCCCAGCTAAGTTTTGTATTTTTAGTAAAGACGGGGTTTCACCATGTTGGCCAGGCTGCTCTCGATCTCCTGACCTCATGATCTGCCCACCTCAGCCTCCCACAAGTGCTAAGATTACAGGCAAGAGCTACCGTGCTCAGCCGCAGGTGCAAATTTTTACAGAAAAGATTTTGAGGAGATGAGGAAGGCTGGTATCTTTCAGAGTACAAAGTGATTTTGGAATATAAAGAATTTATTTGGGTTGAATAATATAGAAGTTTGTCACTGACCTGCGTTCCTGAACTAAATAATATAAATATGTGGGATAAGAAATGGTTTCTCTTCATAAATAATTAACAAATATTAAATATAAATGTTATTTGGCATTATTAAAGAACTAGAGGCTTTGGAGATGGACAGACTTAGATTTGAATCCCGGTTCTGCTACCTCCTAGCAGCGTACCCTTACAAAAGCCACTCCCCTTCCCTAAGCCTGTTTCCTCATCTGTAAACTGAGAGTCACTGCTTACATAAGGGGACTTCTGTTAGGAGTGAATAAGATAACATGCTTGGCACATAGCAAGTGTTCAATAAATGTTAGCTTCCTTCCTCTCTCATCTTCTCCTGGATGCTCCTGGTTCACCCTCCTTCTGGTAAAGCAGAAGGAACTTTGATTTGACATTATTAGACGTGAAATCAGATCCAAGCCCAGCTACTGTTTTGGCTGTGTAACTACCTTAGGCAAGTCACTTTACCTCTAGGAACTTTGGCGGTTTCCATGGCTATAATAGGAGAATAAGGATAAAGATCCCTGCTCACCTCCCAGGTTTGTCATTAAGAAAGAAGGAACAGGCCGGGCGCGATGGCTCAACGCCTGTAATCCCACCAGTTTGGGAGGCCGAGATGGGCGGATGACCTGAAGTCAGGAGTTCGAGACCAGCCTGACTAACATGGTGAAACCCTGTCTCTACTAAAAATACAAAAAATTAGCCAGGTGTGGTGGCAGGCGCCTGTAATCCCAGCTACTCAGGAGGCTGAGGCAGAAGATTCACTTGAACCCAAAAGCCAAAGGTTGTAGCGAGCCGAGATCGTGCCATTGCGCTCCAGCTTGGGCGACAAGACCAAAAGAAACTCTGTCTCAAAAAAAAAAGAAAGAAAAGAAAAGAAAAAAAGACAAGGAACATACAAGGCCTGATGTGAAGTGGGTTCTCTCACTTAACACAAGTCCGCCCTCCTCATCTCCCTCCTCCCTACATACCCCATGGGGGCTCTGAATCTGGTAGGTTCTCCCTTGCCTCACACCACAGCCTGCTATGACTGGCATAGCCGTCATTAAATCTGCTTTCTTTGAGTGGCGGGTATGGAGACCGTAGCAGTCAGGGAAGGTGGAACCCAGAGGGGCTGGGCAGCTGTGCACGGGCAAACTGGGAGGCTAGCCTATCAACCCTTGCCTGATCAGCTGCTTGATTTCCCCACCCGGGAACTGGCACTGCCCACAAGGGGTATCTTGTGTAAGGCCCAAGTAACCGGTCTATGCCAAGGAACCCAGGTGAAGGAGAAGACAGGCCTGGTATGGCTTAGGCCCATGAAGAAGGAAGAATGGCCGCCCTCCCAAAGGCACGGTGTCCATTCCTGTGCCAGATATTGAGCAGAGCACATCTTTGACTATTGGGGGACCAGAGAGAAAATATGGGATGAGAAAGGAAGTCAGGCCGACTAGAACAGGACTGCTGTACACTATTAAAAGTTATGAAGGATTTCAAGGAGTTTTTATTTATGTGGGTTACATCTATCCATATTTACTACATTAGAAATTAAGATGGAAACATTTAAGGAATATTGCTTCATTGATTCATTCATTGTCAAAGACATGCATAAGAATTAAACATGTTAATATAAATATTTTGGAATACATTTTTAATATTTTATGAAGAATAACAATATTTACGAAACAAAAATAAATTTACTGAGAAGGGTGGGAAGATTTTACATTTGTTGTTATTCTCTTTGATGTTTGGCTTAATAGAAGACAGCTGGATTCTCATAGCTGCTTCTGCTATGTGTTGAAGTATATGAAGAAAATCCTGCCTCCTGCAGATATATTAGTTTGAAAAGACCTCCTTGACACTTGCAAAGATTCTCAGGGACCCCCAGGGATTCTTTTCTTTCTTTCTTTTTTTTTTTGAGACAGGGTCTCACTCTGTCACCTAAGCTGGAGTGCAGTGGCACGATCATAGCTTATTGTAGCCTCAAACTCTTTCGCCTCAGCTTCTTAAGTAACTGGGACCACAGGCGCACACCACTACACTTGACTAATATATATATACATTTAATATATATTATTATACTATATATAACATTTAATATACATTAAATTGATGTAGCAGATATTTTCAGAGCATCCAAGGATCATAGCATGGATATATATAATATATATTATATGTTATTATAATTACTATATTATATATAATATATCATATATTCATGTTACATATTATTATAATTATTATATTAAGTATAATATATATTACATAATATATATTATAAATATAAATATCTTTAGAGATGGGGGTCTCGCTATATTGCCCAGGCTTTCCAGGGATTCTTG